GACTCTAACACTGCATATTTATCGTCCTAAGAGTGGAAAATGGTAGAGTTTTCTGCTAAATAAGGATTAATGCAGATTGAATGCATCAGGGTAAAAATAATAGAAATACATGTTCTTTGTGAATGCAGACAACAGGGTAACAGACTAAGAAATGCATTTGGGGAAGTTTCTCTGAAAACTACTGCAGCGTATAAATATATTACGAACCTAAAACCTATCAACTGAAAAGAACTCAAATAGGGGAAATGGATTTGGGACACTAACACTGCATATTTATCGTCCTAAGAGTGGAAAATGGTAGAGTTTTCTGCTAAATAAGGATTAATGCAGATTGAATGCATCAGGGTGGCTTATACAATGCAAAAAATTCAAATCCAGCCCTACATTTTATTGAGGTGGAAGAGCATGCACCCAGCTCGAGAAGAAATCTTCCTCTGAGCCTCTTTAATATTTTAAACCTCGGCAGACTACTGATGTACTGCAAGACAGCCACTCTTAACTTTGTTAATTCAGCCGTGAGAGCACCTTCGCCGTGTTTATTTATCTAGCCAAGCTCTACCTGAGGAGCTGCATGTCAAAAGCCATTAGGCTGACATCCCCTGAGCAAACCCTCCAAGCTAGCGAGAGAACGCAGCTCACAGATACCCTTGAAATAAGGAGGAATAAGCAATGTCAAGGAACTTCACACAAAACTTATGATTTCAAAACCTGTCAGCCTGTGAAAGAGTCTGGGGTCGCTGCTCATCATGAATCTCTTGATTGACAAAAACACATCAAGATAATAAGCTGAAATTCTTGATTCAGTTCATGCAAAGCTTCTGACAAATACCATTATATTCAGCTCCAGCAGCGTGCATAGAGCATTATTATGTATTTTTCTGGCATCTCCACATTAAAAGGATTAAACTGAAGTGTTGCTACTGTTATTATTAATTTAGAAAATGTTACAGTGCCAAGCTCTTGCTCACAGATACCCTTGAAATAAGGAGGAATAAGCAATGTCAAGGAACATCACACAAAACTTTGATTTCAAAACCTGTCAGCCTGTGAAAGAGTCTGGGGTCGCTGCTCATCATGAATCTCTTGATTGACAAAAACACATCAAGATAATAAGCTGAAATTCTTGATTCAGTTCATGCAAAGCTTCTGACAAATACCATTATATTCAGCTCCAGCAGCGTGCATGGAGCATTATTATGTATTTTTCTGGCATCTCCACATTAAAAGGATTAAACCGAAGTGTTGCTATTGTTATTATTAATTTAGAAAATATTACAGTGCCAAGCTCTGACAGCATCAGCAAGAGTGAACAAAACCTGGCAAATATGATCTATGTTTGCTTATTCTCAACCCTGAGTAATTTCTAAGAGGATAAGAAGTGCTAAACCATACTCAGTCGCAAATCTTTGACGAATAACGCAAATTCTACAATCCACACAAAAGTTTAACTTACACATTGTCATTTATAAATGTAATACTTTGCAAACACAAGAAAAGCCGATCTCAATCATCTGTGCATATAGCAGTGATAATACATGGCCTGAGGTTTGAACAGAGTATGGCAAGCCAATTTAACATATATTCCTTAAAACTCTAGTGTTTATTTTAATTTCTTAGCACTTATTTTGATTACTAGTAATTCATTAGTGACAAGTACCTATTCAATTAGTCACTAGTATTCATTTTATCCTAGTGGTCAACGGCTTCAAGTCAGTATCCCAATAGTACTGGTAATTGCAAGTTTTGCCAATGAATTGCAAAAAAATCTACTATGCCCATTTAACTAGTGTGTATTTAAATAGTTGCTGGCACTCAATTTTTACAAATAATTAAGGTACTCAAACATTTTAGTTAGATACTTATTCTAGTTAGCTACTAACTATTCAAATACTTGATGTATATTCCATTACTGGTAACAATTTAACTAGTAAAAAACAACTGGACTAGCCATAAATTAATATATGAAACACAAATACAGACTAGATAATGCAAATACAGTCATGGCCAAAAGTTTTGGCAGTGACATAAATTTTGTGTTTTGCAAAGTTTGCTGCTTAAGCTCTTGTTATGTTCATTCACATTGTTTCTAGATTATTGTGTAGAATGATCAGATGCATTTTAAATAAGTGCTAAAAGCTTTATTGGCCAAAAAATGAACTTTTCACAAAAAAACTAAATTTCACTGTTTTTTGATCCTGCCACAAAGGGGCTGACACCTGGTCACGTTTTGTCTGATCGGATAGCAATCCGATCGTGAAAAGGCCAGGTGTAAATGCCCTCCAAAACGCATTCGAGACGGATATAAATCCGATCGCTCAAACCACTTCAGGAGGTGGTCTGGGCCGCATTCCAGACGAAACTGGACAAGTGTAAATGCATCTGGATGTTCAAACCACATATGTAAATTTTACTCCTCCTAAAATGTTAAAATAATAAACATGTGAGTGTGTGTTATAGGCTATATGACATTATAGTCAGATATGACTGCGCTAATGCAACACACATCGCAGTGGACGAGTAGCTGAGTATCTCTTCAGCAAGCCGATGTGCAAACTGCCGCAAATGAAACAAAGTAATACGCAGACGGTCAACACACAATCATCTTCATTAAAAGTAGTAAGACAAACTTATCATTCCAGTGCTGATGCCGCACACTCTCCTATTGCAGTCTTTGATCTTGAAATTAGCTAATAATTAATCAAATGCAGGAGTCAGCTACGGAATTGTGTCACCAGCAGTGCAGAGCTTGCTCAGGAATGGCAGCAGGTTGGTGTGGGAGCATCTGCATGCACAGTGAGGCCAAGATGTTTAGGGTGCTTTCACACCTGGCTCATTGTTTCGGAACCTGGCGCGTTTCCCCCCTTAGCTCAGTTCATTTGGGCATATGTGAACACGGCAATCACACCGGGATCGCCTGAACGAGGTGGTCTCGGCTCGATTGAAAAC